CGTGAAAGTTTTTTACGGGTAAATTAATATCTCAGGAACCACGGAGTCTAGGAGGTTGAAATTTTACGGTAATGACCCCCTGCCCACGCTCAATCTTGCCCATTCAAAATCACCGTTCCCGCGCTCTCGGGTATCACTTACAGGCTAGTGAAACTTTTTAAGGGTAAATTATTTTTTCGGGAACCACCGAATCTAGGAGGCTGAAATTTTAGGGTAATGACCCCCTGCTCACGCTCAACCTTGCCCATCCAAATTCAGCCTTCCCTTACCCGTGGGTAACACGTACGGCCCCGTGAAAGTTTTTTACGGGTGAATTAATATCTCAGGAATCACGGTGTCTAGGAGGTTGAAATTTTATGGTGATAACCCTCTGCCCACGCTCAACCTTGCCTATTCAAATTTAGAGTCCCCTCGCTGATGAGTATCATCTACGGCCTCATAAGAATTTTGGCGGTTAAACTATTAATTCGGGAATCACGGAACGATATTCACCCTTCAAGGTTTCGAATTCAGCTTTCATGCACTGGTACGTGAAATTTTTAATTTTTTTCTAACGTTTGAACCATTTTTGCACAGACCAAAGTGCAAAGCAGTGAAAATCATTAGCAAGCAATCGTTCGGTGAATGGAATTGCACAAAACGCATGATTGCACCGGCTGCCCTAGTGCGCGCCGCTGTTTATTTTTATTTACTTTATAACGGTACAGTACACTGCAGTGGTGTTCTTGACAGTGAACTACTGCGATCTTTCTGGGAGATGTGCGGTAGATTCCTGATGGCTAAAGCCGGAAAAATTTAGGATTAACGTTGGAGGGAGAAAAGCTGATCAACGTGCAACGATGCTTGAAAGCCGAGATGTATTTTTTCCCATTTTATTGCTAGTAGGTGATCGAAAAAGGCTTCCTACACTTAGTGGTAATTCAAAATGTTTCTCCCTATTTGTAGCTCATCCCGTAACAATGAAGGGATGTGATGTCAAGAAGAAGCGAACAGAAATCCTGGACGCTGTTGACTCTGCAGCATTACCAACGTCTTGGGGCAGTCTCCTGAACACAAACGAACTGAACGCTGTAGCGTGTGAACACGAAACCTTACCTTTCTAACGCCAAATCGGAGGAGCGAACGCTGGTTGTGACGGAGAGCGCAACGGGTCGGAGGACTGCCAAGGACAATATGACGAATGAAATACTTTGTTAAATGAGCACGGAAGAAATAATACCGGCGAGGGATACAATATCATTTTTGCATGGTATGTGAAAACGCATAAAAAGTTACCTTTATCCCGAGTACTTAGATGCTGCTGCTGGACTGTATTAGACGCTGGCGTCGGTTTACGGCCCCGCATTTTTGTAAGTCGACCTCGTCTCGAATGCATGTATCTCTAAAATTTAAGGCTAAAATTAATCATTTCTTCAAAGGTAAAGAAGAAATTCTGCTCTTATTCGTATATAACAATCTTTCCTGCAAGCAGGCACAGCCCTTGCTGAAGGTCAAGGATTCGAATTCACCGGGAAAGAAATTCCCGTTCACTCAGTTCGGTGATAAATCAATACGATACATGCTAGGAAATCCAGATCACTGGCGGAACCAAGAGGGCCCCTCCTTCGCCCCTCCTTCCAGGGGCATAGGTAAGGGTTACTATACTGTAGAAAAGTCTACCTGAAACCTCCTGTCGCCCCCCTCCTCCT